AGAGTGCACGTTAAACTCGCTGCACACAGCTTTTTGTTATTGTGATCTCTGGTCATGGTGAGGTTGCTCCTGCTGACTTGAGCCAACCACTTTCTTCGTCTCTCTGCGTCTTTGGGTAAGCCGTAATTCTGATTCCTCCCTCAGACCGTTTGCTATATGCAGGACAGCCAACCATGGTAAGATAATCAACCTATAAAGGGATTATTAAAATACTATTTTTGTAAATATAGAAATATTGAACTAAACCAAAAATATAGAGATGTAAAATTACATTTTAAATTGTTATCCAACCCTAAAATTAGTCATTTCAAATTTTAACCCACTGACAAATTTTATTTTAATAATAATCAAAATAAAGTAATTCAAAAGAGTTTCATTAGGTCTTGAGTACATTGCTCAAAATTAATGATTCAACTTATTTGTGCATATGTAATGACTAAACATAATGTTGGTAAAATGCTTTATTAAAAATGCTATTATACATGTTGTACAAGTTTGTATCCATTTTTTCACAAATAACACTTTCTTAATCTACCTTGTTTGACCATACAGTTTTATTGAAATTTTCTTTTTAATTAGTTGCTAACTACCTCCGCTCCGCTCCGGCACGAACGCCGGAGCAAAATCGGTCCCGTTGTAGTCAATCAGAGCAATTCCACAACTGCGGCCGTGCTCCGGCAGTGCGGCGCAGTGCGCCGCCCTCTGTTCCGGCGTCCGGCAAAAATAGAATCGATCCTATTTTCGCCGGACGCCGGAGCACCTCTGCAGTAAATGGACAGAAATCACAACCGCCCAACAGGAAAAGGAGCAAGCACAACTTCCGTTTTTCACAATAAATCGATAAACAAAAAGCGTTTTTTGTTTCATATGCACAGGTTTAACACCTTTTAACAACTATCAATGGCGGCTGAAGTTTAAATGCACAAAAGTAAGCCATAAATACAGTTTCCACTATCAAAGTAGTCACACTTTGTTGATCCAAACACTGCTGATCTCTCAACACAAATGATGGGCAGATTAAGCAGTTCATTTCGATGCTTCTCCCACACAACGGGTGTTTGGATCTAACTTCCGCGTTTATTGCTCGGACTGTATCGCAAGATCTCGAAAATCCCGCGCATGCCTGTTTGCGCACCTCAGGTCTCCGCACCGGAGCGGAGCCGTTGGAGAGCGGGTACCAGTAAAAATTGAGTTCGGAAGCGAGCGGCTGCAGAAGGCGGGGGCGGACCGGAGCGGAGCGGAGGTAGTGGAATTTGGGGGTTAGTCAGGCTATAGAAGCCAGATAAACTGGTTTATAGATGCATGTACTGTCTTCACATAAAAATATAAAATAATGATTGTAAAATGTATTCTACTGAACATATATCATCATTCAAAGCATAAACACCTACATATTTTCTTCAAGGTAAGCTGGAGCATAATTCTAGCTTTCAATAAACACTTTAAAATGGATATTACAACTCGAGTTTAGGGCTTCTTGTAGGGCTTAAAGTTATTAAATATGCTTATTATAGAGCAGTGTGTTGCATTACTAGATCAAATGTATTGCTATCATATATTATAGTAATGTATGTGGTCTAAATGTGTTCTACAGTGTGTTAGGACTGTCGTATTCCTGTTATGAAGAACAGTCACGGGTGTTTGTCTTCCTACAAATGCTCAGAAAAATATAAATAGGCTGCTTTGTGAAGGAATTAGGACATAATATATAATATTATTCAATAATTACCACAAATCGCCAGGGGAAATGTGATTATATTACATTTTTGTGATTTGTCCCACCATACGCCGTTCAAACTGACTTACGGCACTGTGGGATGTTTGGAACTGAGAGCTTCATGAACCACGTGACCGCGAGTCGGCAAGTTCAAAGAGTGTCGTAACTCTCTTTCTACAGCTCTGACAGAACCCTGCCCTCCTCTCCCAATGATTGGACAGGAATTCGAGAAACGTGATTGGTAGCTAAGACTCGTGCTCTCATTGGTTCCACCCAAGTTCCTCCCACCGAAGCTAGAATTGAGACAAATTGATTTGTAGCACTGTAGATTTGAGGTTTGTACCTGTAGAATGAAATGTGTGTTTTGAGAGTTTTGATTTCAAACATGTACCTTGATTTTTTTTATTTTGGAAGTCTGCTAGTTACAAAACGAAAGTTTCATGTTTCTGAATGAATGTTTGATGTTACAAAATGAGTAGTAAATGTACAAAATAAAAGTTTGATTTTACAAAACAAAAAATACACGTACAAAATACAATGTGCCTGTTACAAAACAAGAAATACAAGTACAAGTTGAGAATTACAAGTTAGAAAACTAAAGTTACATGTTACGAATCCAAAGTTACATGTCATGAAACATGTTCCAAGTTACAAAACTTGGTACAAGTTACATTGAACATTGTCCCAATCCTAGCTCCATATTGCCACAGCTGCCCTGGGGAGCACTGACGAGGCAGCATTCTCTGGTCAGAGTTGGGATTGAGCATGCAATCTTCCGATTACCGGAAAACCCGCTCCACTTCCTGACCTACTGCTGTCCCATACAGCACATGACTTAACTAAGTCTCCACCATCTTTAAAATTAAACTATGGAACTGTATCGTCATAGGGATTGAGATGTTAGCCGTGCCTATGAAAGAATTTCATATACGCTGTGCAAAAGGTTCAATGAGTTATCCTGAGTGTTCCTTTCATTGCGCCGGTTGAAGTGAGCTGACAGGACGCTGGCAGGAGAACATGTTTTTTTGGGGGCGGGGCCACGTGAGGAATAGCGAAGGCGAGGGTGGGGCCGGGTGGGTACGCAGATAGGGTGTGGAATGGGGGGGATCTGCAACCCCCCCCCCCCCCCCTTCCCAGGTTCAGATCGACCCTGATCCGTCTCCCTCAACTAAGGCCAGAAAGAAAACAAAATCGGAGGTTAAGCGCTTGAAGCTCCTTTTCCCAATTACATTGAATGCAGCATGACGTAAACAAACACCGACTCCAGAGGCACCAAAGTGGTTGCTGCTAGGATGCAGGATGAAGCAACAATTACTGCGTATTTAAAAAAGACCAACAGTGTAAGTAGGCGGACCGATCTGTCTGTTTATGCGTGTTGGTTCTAGTTTCAGTACGTTGTTGTCATGTTGGGACTTACTCGTTATAAGTGCCAACGCCTCATTGCTGACTTTAACAAGTCTCATCTACAAACATGATCCCTCATGAAGTTACTACTTTACACCAGAAGATAGTGGAGATGTGGAACCTTCAGGCTGAGCAAAGTTTGGGAGTTTTTAGAGTTTGAAAATCGCCTCCCGCCGAGCGGCTCCCAGTCAGGGAGAGGAGATGCGTGCAGCATGAAGAGCGCAAATATTAGATAAAACGTATAACTGCCGGCAGGTCTGGTCTTTGTTGACTGATCACTTTGTCTGGTCATGACTGACTCTGATTATGAAGCAGAATATTGACTCGGATGAAGAAATTCACTCATCCAGCCGGGAAGATTGACGCTGCTGCAGCATCAGACAGCTGGTGCTGCACGAGAGGTGTGTGGAGTTTACAAGCTCCAAACGTTGGGTCTGATGTTTGTTTAACCTTCTCTGGGACGTGATGGGTGTAGAAATGATGGTAAAAACTTGGCTAACATGACAGACGTAGCTTCAACGTAAAAAACAAAAAGCCGTAAAACAGAGGCAGATGCCGATGCGTTACAGATTGGAAGTCAAAGTGTGCCACAAAATCATAACAAAGTAAAATGTAAGAGATTTATATATTTGTCATGTTGCAGGTGTGGATGACGGCAGACCATGTGTGGCAGAGCTGATCAGGAGGTAAAAATGCAGGCTTCAGAAAAAGTAAAATGGTTTTAATGGTGGACTGGGAATGACAGGAACAAAACAACAACGACTACAAGCAACAATGATCTGACAAAGACTGGCACAAGGAGGGAGGTATAAATATACAGGGAAATCAGAAACACATGGGCAGGTTAACGAGGGGCAGGTGAGAACAATAAGGGCTAATCAGGGCAGGATAGAGACACAGTCAGGAAGGCAGGGGCAGAACGTGACAATATTTATGTATAAATTAAAACTTTCCAAATATAATGGCATTTTCTAAATGAAGTAAAAATATGAAGGAACATCTGTTGGCCAGGCTGAAAAGTTTGGGAACCACTGCTCTAAGTGATGAGTGAATTTCGTTTTCTTAAATATATTTTATGTGCAGTTTTTTAGGGCTTTTATGTTTTCTGTAAAGATCGGTATGCTGAAAATCAGTTAATGTTTAAATGAAACATGTTTTGCATAAAGCATGAGCTGTTGGTTAGTATTTGATTGGGAGAATAACACTTGACTGATTTGAATAGTGTTGATCAGGCAGAGCTTTGTTGCATAATGGCTTCAAACACGCATATAATAGCTAGTTTTTTAGTAAACCATTGGTTGAAATTACACATAAGGCTCTTGCAATAGTGTGTGTATGTGTATGTGTGTGTGTGCATGTGTTTGGGGAAGGGTACATTGGAACTTTGTGCGCCCCCCCCCCCCCCCCCCCCCCCCCCCAGTTTGAAAATCCTATCTGCGCCCCTGGGGGCTGGCGCTGGTTGGCTTGGAGCCTGTTGATAGCTGCTTGCAGTTCTACTGACTTGAATTTGCTGCATTTGTGGAGAAGAATCTTAATCAGGTTTTGAAAATTATTTCATTTTTCAAGTTCTGATAGCCACTATTAATGCTTTCACACTGAAGAGAGTCTGTGTTAGAAACTTAGCTACACTCTGGCATTTTTACATTGGATTGTCCTCTACTCTTTAGCCTCTGGGCCCAGTCTAGTTCTTCCTCAGATGTGGCTACAGCGCCATCGTCTGGCCCGAGAGCACCAACACAACAGCTGATCCACACAAGCAGCTTGTGGTTTTATCATAGATTCAAAAAAAAAAAAAAAGTGTTACAGTTCTGACTCAGAAAGATGGCAGCTGCTGAAGTTACTGATTAACATCTGAGACTTAATAAAGTGCAGGAAGGGAGGCATTATGGCACGTCCTGCAACCTTTGATCAGAAAGTCTCCTTATAACTTCTAAAGAACCAGAAGAGGAATACAAGGTACTCCAGGGACCACAAAGCTCCAACTACATAATCTGATTTATTCATTCCAGGTAAAAATTTTATTCGTTCATCTATTTCTTTCTGTTTAATTGGATGTTTTTCTGGTTTTTAGATAATCTGGGAATTGTTGTTGCTAGAATCATTGACTGTAAGTCATGTGACTGTGGGATGACAAAAATTAATGCTCAAAAGTTTATATATATATATATATATATATATATATATATGAGTCAGTCTGGGTATATGTGAACACCTGTTGTTGATTTACGTATAAAGGTTTAGAGTCATTTGTGAATGTTGCTCAATCCGGGTGAATCACATCCAGAGGATCACATGACAGAAAAATAAAGCAAACGTCAGAGTTTGTTTTTGTCTTTTAAGGTTCTTTCTAAGTTTTGGCCTTTCGGGGCTGAGACTGTTCGTTGTGTTATTTGATGTAATATGTGTACATTTAAAGAGCAAGTCACCCCCAAATAAACTTCTTTTTGCTGATAAACTAAATAAACGAGTGTCTAATCGTGCTGCAGACACGTGTCGTCAATAATTTGGCACTTCAGTGCATCTTAGTTAAAATTTAAATATTCTGCCTAAAACTGGCAGTGTTGCGCTGTCGTCAGGGAAAAACTCTGCACTGTATTTGAATTTAAATCTGCCACCGCTATTGGCTAAGAAGTATGCTATGATGTAAACTGGTACATTATGATGTCACAATGCTGTCGTGAGCCTGAGTGTGTGTGTGTTTGTTAGCGGCTCCACCCTCTCGGTCTGCCAGGCAACAGCATGTGTTGCATTTTTCAAACATGAAGTGGGAGTGGAGTTAGACTCTGGTAGGGGGTGAACTATTTCCTCAGCTTGACCCAACTGGTTCTGGATCTTTGGCTGTTGACATGTTATTCAAAACATGTCAACAGCCACCAATGATGTAATGGAAATTATTACAATAGAAATAATTTCTGAGAAGACAAAAAACATAACAAGTTGTACATACAGAGCACCAGGATCCCGTGTAGAACCTTTTACAAATACAATTACTGAAATGTTGAGTGGAATCTGCAACAAGCATATATTTCTCTGTGGAGAATATTGATCTGGAAAATGTAAATAACTCAAAGACTGCAAACGATTTTATAAATTCAGTGTATCTACTGGGTCTGTTTCCACTGAAAACCAGACCAGCAAGAATAAATGCACACAGTTCAACTACAATAGATAATATCTTTACTAACGTTGCAAGGGAAATAGAGAGAAGTGGAATTGTAATGACAGACATCAGTGATCACCTGCCAATTTTTACAGTCTATAAAAATAATCGGATAAAATTTCAACATAAAACGTAAAGACTAATAAGAGATCGGTCACCAAAGCGCTATAAAATGCACTAAAAAGAGACTTGGAACAGCAAAACTGGGAAACAGTTTATGTTAAAGATGTAAACATGGCTTACAACTCCTTTTTAAGAATATTGTGTAACCAATTTGATGAAAACTGTAAAACCAAAATTTAAACAAAAAGACAAGGGATGAACAATCCATGGATGACAAAAGGGCTGCAGAATGCCTGTAAGAAAAAAATCCTTATATAGATGCTTTTTAAAGCAAAGAACAAGTGAAGCAGAAAATAGGTACAAAAAATACAAGAATAAATTAGTTACTATAATAAGAAAACAAAAAAACAGATTATTATAGCAATTTATTAGACAAAAATATAAATAATATCAGAGCAACTTGGGGAATACTAAATAGTGTAACAAAAAGAAATAAAACAGCTTCATCTGTTCCGCAGTACTTTGTAAAGGGACAGTCGGGAATTAGTGAAACTAGCACAATAGCAAACGAATTTAACAATTACTTTACTAGCGTGGGACCAAACTTAGCTAACATTCCTAAAAGAACTAATTATAACATCAGTGGAAACATAACAAGTAATAAAAATAGTATACTTCTAAGTCCAGTAACTAGCGATGAAATAAGAATCATTGTAAATAAATACATCAATAAAAGAACTACTGACTGTAACGGACATAATATTAAAAAAAAATTATAATAGAAAATATCATCCATCCCTTCACGTACATATGTCATTTATCTTTCACAACAGGGACATTTCCAGATAACATGAAAATAGCAAAAGTAAAAAAAAAGAAAGAAAGAAAAATAAATAAATAAATAAAAAGAATTCTGGATAACAGATTCCTTCTCATGCTGTTTAAAGATATAGCTACTAGACACTAGGGTTGTCACGGTGTGAAAATTTAAACTCAAGGTTTTTGTGACCAAAATTACCACAGTTTTCGGTATTATCGCGGTATTTTTTTTTTAAACGTGTTACATTTTCACACAATTAAATAAACCCTGCATGTCAGGAAATATTGTCCTCAGTTTGTGTCTAAATTTAGCCTAAAATGTGTTATTTTGTAATTATGTTGTTTATTTGTTTATATTTTTCCCCTTTAGTCTTTAAAATACCAACATTTGCCCATAACTTCTTATTTTTTGTCTGTTTGATGTCATCATTTAAAAAATATTAGACCAGATGATACTCAGTACTCAAGTAGCCTTCTAATCAGATACTTTTTTACCCTTACTTGAGTAATAAACCCTATATCAGGAAAATATCGTCCTCGGTTTGTGTCCTTCCAGTGAGCTTTGCAGATGTGGGAAAATGTCATCGGGCAGTAATCGTTGTTAAATTCATAATTATTCTCGGAGAGAGACCAACTCTTATCTGCCCCTGGGAGCCCCGTAATGCATAGCGTCATTTCAACATGGCGGTGTCCGCGACACGGTTTATATGCAGGTAGCGGCGCTGCGGCTGCTTTATATAGCGACTCGTTGCATTCTCCCTCAACCCAAATCCTCGGATCACGCATTTTAGCTAAAACGCTAACGTTAGCTTGCCTTGCGTTGACTGTAGAGTTGTGGGTGATGGTCACGCAGATGTGTCATGAGATTTGAAGTGTTGCTGCCTTTCACAGACACTTTTTCTGCACGTGCTGCAAACAGGATAGCCGTCTTCTATCAACTGTCCCTCGACATTCTTCAGATATCCAAAAGATGCCCGTACTTCCCACTTTGTCTTCTTTGAGGGATAATAAATGTCCTGAGCGCTGCCGTCTCCTCCTTTGGCCATTATTTCAGCTTTAGCTTAAAGAAAGTTTTGGTTGTAAACAACAAAGTGCGCATGTGCCGCCGGCAACTTCAGCAGATGATACGGTGGCTGGTAAGGGTCACCGCGCCTACACCGCAGCCACGGTAATCCACCGAGATGATATATGTTTTAAAAAACAAGACGGTTATTATTATTGTCAACTTTTTTACCGGGGTTTACCGCTACACCGGTTACCGTGACAACCCTACTAGACACCGGTCCTCCTCAGGCCTCATCACGTTTAAATATGGGTCTAGTTTGTTGTTCCAAATAGTTGCCACACCACCTGGTATATTCTTCCCCTATTATTCCATCTCCAGTGTCACTAGTTGACTCTCCAGCCCCGTGAAAATTATTATTAATGGAATTTAAACCTTTTAGATTCTGTTTTGTTAAAAAGGTTTCCTGCAAGCACAGAACATCACACTGATCCAGCAGGTGGTCCACAACAAATCTGTGACTCCTGTCCTCCACACTCTGGCCCAGCCTCGCGCCACGGCAGTTAGAAGAAATGAGCTTTCATCCAGAGTTAAGCTGCTGTGTCCTGGGCTGCCTGGGACTCATTCATCAGACCAAAAGGGACAGCACTGGGGGGTGACCCCAAAGAGTCTCCATACTGTACACAGGCCCCCTCAGGCCAGATCTGCAGGTTGTACATCTCACACACATCAGAGCATTCAGCAGACGCTTAGAACGAAGAGAATCTGCTGTTAGCTGTGACTATTTTTTGGCCCATGACCTCACGGACCAGTTCACCCTTCAGGTAGCTGCACAACATTTCTTCATCGTGCTCAGGTGAGAGTCTAGAAGCAAAGACCCTCACCAGTCTGGTCATCACCATTTTAATGTTTCCTGCAGCTCCAGTGCCAACCACAGTGATGTTTTCTCCAGGCGTTTCCTTTGATGCCTGTGTTGTGGAGTTTTTCATTTGAACAGGTAGATCTGTGCTACCGGTTGCCTTTCGTCTGCCCCTTTTTATTTCCAGCCCTAGCTCTGCCCCCTCTGTTTTCAGGAGCGCTCGTTTCTCCGCTGCTGCCTACCTCGCTCCGAACCGGGATCTTCGCCCTCTTCCTCCATCCTCTTATCACAGGGAGCGCTCGTTTCTCCGCTGCTGCCTTCCTCACACCAAGCAGGGGTCTCCTCCTCCTCCTCTCTCACTCTGTCTCCTGTCTCGGTTCCCACCAGAGTAGTCACCACCTCCGTTCTCGTCCCGCTTTGTCCGTCAGCTTCACGTGCTGTCCTTCGTCACCCGCTGACCACAGTCTCGCCCCACATCTGATGAGCTCTCCAGGTTGCTCACACAGTGTTTTATATCGGACGGAAATGTGCAAAGATCCGAACTCCCAGCGTCTGCTTCACGACGCTCACGTCCGCATGCAGCTGCTCCATCCTTCTAAGCAGGTGTAGGGCCACACGCATCCATGCTTGAGATGGTCACCGGTGGCAGATCGTCCAAACATACCGCGGAACATTCTGTCCACATTCATTCAGCACTTTGAGGCAATTCTTTATGTTATTTGCATCTTTCCGCGGGTCTTTGTGCGCCACGTTGCACTGCGTAGCGGGACACAAGTCAACCAGGACTTTCTAGGAGGCCTCGATCCACTCAGTGTCAAATGAGTTCACAGCAACGGGACCAAGCTCATCCTGGCTGATTCTGGACTTCACAGCTAGGAAGTTTAGCAGATCATCCTCCACACCTTCTTTTGAATCTACCGTTCTGTAGACGTCTAGTTTTTGTCTTGAACGATACAACTCACGAGCAGCTAAAAC